ATCATGATTATAATCATGATCATAACGTATCCACGTGATGTTCGAAATTTTTTTGGGTGGCGATTTTACCCCGGTTGCGATTTTACCCCGGTTGTGTAACTACACCACTTCGGGCAAAATTAAAAGTATAATTTGGGCCGGGCAATATGAATTTGGCCAACCTAAACTGTCAGCAGATTTCGAAAATGTAGACAATCAACGAACAAAATTTTCTGTTAACTTCCCCATATCGATATAAATCGATATTATTGAATATCAGATATATCGATAGATATTTTTGCCAAATCAAATCGAATATACTTGCTCACGTGACGCTTGAACCTTTTTTTTAAAAGTTAAACCCAACCAATACTGTAAAATCAAACATCCGTTATGCTCCAATTGATTGGATATTTTCCGTGTAGCGCACAATGCGCAGTGCACAGTGCACAGTACTCGTGATTGTACTAAGATGCGTACGTAAGAATATGCGTACGTAAGAAATTACGCATACTCTTGTCATAAAAAGTAATAAATTGAGATCAAGTTAATCAAAAATTTTGATTCTTGAATAATTATTTAATTTTTTTGCGCAAATGACAACTCTTGAAGACAAAGCTCTTTGGGGTCAAAACGAGGATGGCCTTGAAGATCTCGGGCAAGAGATTTTGAAGTCTAGCACCGATGATATTATCAATCGCACGCGCTTACTCGAAAATGAAATTAAGGTTTTTAGCCATTGATAGATTTTATATTAATCGTAGAGATTTTAATTATGCATTTTATGTCTGATAAATAGGTGATGAAATCAGAGCATATGCGGTTGATGCATGAACAGAATAGCATGAAAGAAAAGATAAAGGATAACAGAGAAAAAATAAAAGTCAACAAACAATTGCCATATCTTGTGGGGAATGTTGTCGAGGTATTTATCTAAAACAAGAGGGCAGAACTCATTTTATTAAATAAAGTTTTGTTAGTTTTGTTATAAAATTCTTTAATTTCTTTTTTCACAATCATTGATTCATATGGATCTTTTATAATATTATTATGTCAAACTTTTATGCAAATTTAATTCTATAATTATCAATAAAACAATTCTTTTTAGAGATTGTACTCGTGGTGGAAGTCTTTACTCGGGCATTATCAAATTGTCCGGTTATCTGGATAATTTACTATAGCCATATAGTAACAATTTCTACCCGGGTACAATTCCTAATTTTTTATCCTATTTTATTTTACTTTATTTTGTAATGCTCCATCTGAGAAATATTGAAAAACAAACTAACATTTTTTTACGTGTCGAATTCGTTATGATGATTCAGTTACTCGACATGGATCCAAATGATGAGCCGGAAGAAGATGGTGCAAATGTAGATCTTGATGCACATCGAAAAGGAAAATGTGCTGTAATTAAGACTTCTACGCGACAGGTAAGGCTCAAATTTTATTCCATTCGTTATTTCATTTTTTACATTTGCTGTTCATAAAAATGTAATTAAATTTCTATCGGTTAGACAATTTTTTTGCCTTTAATTGGACTTGTTGATCCAGCTACTTTAAAACCAGGTGATTTAATCGGCGTTAACAAAGACAGTTATTTAGTTTTGGATACGTTACCTGCCGAGTAAGTCTTAATATTTTCATTACGGCGAATTTATGAAATTAGAGTATTTTGACCTCGTCATTTACAATTTGTTTTTTGGCATTTCTTATTTGTAAAATCATATATATAACGTCTAACCCATCTTCCCGTGAAAAGATGGGTTAGACGTTATCTATATGATTTTACAATGAGAAATGTCAAAAAACAAATAGTAAATGACGCACTTCATAGTAGGTCAAAATACTCTAATTTCATAAATTCGCCGTAATGTATCTAAGGCATTCATATGGTTCTCATGATAAAAGTATCTCTGTTTCAGATATGATTCTCGTGTTAAAGCTATGGAAGTTGACGAAAAACCAACAGAAGATTATACCGACATTGGAGGCTTAGATAAACAGATTGAAGAATTGGTAGAAGCTATCGTTCTTCCTATGACACATGCTGATAGATTCAAAAATTTAGGTATCAAACCACCGAAAGGTACGGGGAGTTTGTGTATACTATCTGTTCCTATTTCGTCTATGATCTTTTTTTTTAAAAAAAAATAAAAAATAAAAAATTTTAGGTGTTTTAATGTATGGACCACCTGGAACGGGTAAAACATTGTTGGCTAGGGCTTGTGCCGCTCAGACCAATTCTGCATATTTAAAACTAGCCGGACCGCAGCTTGTTCAGGTAAATAAATAATGGTCCAATCGCTTAACTCCATCGTGAATAACTGAGATTTTGTATTCAATTACTATTTTAACTCAATATGTATTTTAATTAAGATGTTTATTGGTGATGGTGCTAAACTTGTACGTGACGCGTTTAACTTAGCAAAAGAAAAGGCTCCTTCCATTATTTTCATAGATGAATTGGATGCTATAGGAACTAAACGTTTTGATAGTGAAAAAAGCGGTGATCGAGAAGTACAACGAACAATGTTGGAATTATTAAATCAGCTTGATGGATTCAGCAGTGATGAAAGAATTAAGGTTTGTGACACAAACGTTTCATTATACACATTTTGTATTACATAGATTACATAGGATTATAATATGGAAAGTTTAATTGTAGGTGATTGCCGCTACGAATCGTATTGATATTTTGGATCCTGCACTCTTGCGATCAGGACGTCTTGATCGAAAGATAGAGTTTCCGCTTCCAAATGAAGAGGCACGTGCACGTATTCTCCAGATTCATTCACGTAAAATGACCGTTGGTTCCGATGTCAATTACGAAGAATTAGCTCGTTGTTGTGATGAATTCAATGGTGCTCAATGTAAAGCTGTTTGCGTTGAGGCAGGTATGCTGGCATTGAGGAGAAATGCAACCGAGTTGAATCATGAAGATTTTATGGACGGTGAGTTGAATAAATTAATTATACATATTCAGATACATGCATGCATGCACACACAGCTGGTGATAGAGTTAATACCTTACTATGTTTTATATCCGGATATATCCAGATATAAAATAAATCCGGATTTAAATTATTATGTTTTACTATGACAAAGTATCAATCCAGATATATATATATATCCGGATTGAAGTATTAACTCTAGCTGGTGATGTTCTATTATTCTGCCAGCCAATCGGTTCTTTATACAATTTTTCAAAATGACGTACTATACATAATGTACGCGAAAAAAATCCGACTTGCTATAAATGGAATATCTGTACACACTGCATATATATAAATATGTATATATAATATGTTCACTATATATATATTTTTTTTGGTAATTATAAATAGGGATTCAAGAAGTAATGGCAAAAAAGAAGACTTCTTTACAGTATTATGCTTAGATACAATGCTTACACTGAAAGAAATAAATAAACCTTCTTGTCTAATTTTATTAATAAAGGTGAATGCAAGGATTTCACCATAAATAAAACGTTAAAATAAATATCTATAAAGTTCAAAATATGTGTAACTTTAATAAGTCTTAATTATTGAATATCATTTACAAAAATGAAAGCTTAACAGAAGCAAGGTCTAAGCCCAGAGCGGTACTGTGTACAATTATTGTCAGCCGATATAGTTACATTTATTATCTTTGGTGATTGGATGAATTTAACAGTAAAATTGCCTTTTTCGTATTGGGTCTTTAAGACAAGGAGGTCACAGGTCATTCCACAAACACCATCTAAATTTGTGTTATAGAAAAATTTTTTTTATACTGTACGAAAAAAACACAAAGCTTTTTTGTTTGTATTATATTAAAGTGTCGTTTTGTGACTAATCAAGTGCTTTATTTGTTTCCTCTTGGTACTGCTTTTTTTTTTTTTATTTTTATACATCAGCTTATATCTGTAAGTTGAATTAAAACTTTTAGAAATATCATTCTTTTTTATAATTATTTTCCGGTTATGCCTCATCACAATCCCCTTGAGATGTCTGCACCACCAACGAGGGCGAATTTGAAAGCATGGTGGAAACAATTCGCTGCAAAAAATGCGAGAAGAGAGGGTGAAAGGAAGGGTAAAGGTAATTTCTGGAGCATGATAAACCACAGCTTGTTAAACACTTTGAAGTTTATTTCTAGTTGAAATTCAGAAGTGGAGAAAGTTATAAGGGCTTTTTTTTTTTTTCTTTATTATATATTAACAAATTATAGGCTCTCGTGGAATTTTTGGCGTTGATCTCGCTGAAGGAATAGAGTATGCAAGAGTACCAATATGCATGGCAGGGCCAGACGGGAAACAATATATATACGGATATATACCAACAATAGTTGCAAAGTGCGGAATGTTTTTAAAAGAACAAGGTATTTATTTTCTCTCACGGTTTATTTTTTTTTTATTGGATCAAATTTTCATTGGAGGCATATTGCTTCGCTAGGAATTAGGATTTGGAAATTAAATCCTAAAAACCATGCCGGGGTAGATACTTTTGGTATTTCGAATTTTTTGGTTTGTATGTTGTTTTGATCTCACACTTTTTATTATTTTTTTTGTTAAATTTAGCTACAACGACTGAAGGAATATTCCGTCTAAGTGGATCAGCTAAAAGGATAAAGGAATTGCAAACGATTTTTGATTCTCCACCGGTTTATGGAAAAACTTTAACCTGGGTTGGATATTCTGTACATGATGCGGCAAATGTACTAAGAAGGTATCTAAACCATTTGCCAGACAAAGTTATTCCACTTGTTTGGTATGATAAGTTTCGGGCTGTACATGGTAATAAAGCATCTTATAATATATGAATATATATATATATATGCAATAATTTGATTCTTACAATTGTTTTCAATACGTACATTGAAATTATTAAAATTATATACATTTCTTCTTTATTGCAGTTAGTTATAAGGATGCGGGTGCCCTCGTGGAAAATTACCAAAAGTTGATCCAATCGCTTCCTAAAGAAAATCAGCATTTGCTTCTTTATATTCTCGATTTACTGGCAGTTTTTTCCTCAAAATCTTCACAAAACTTGATGCCATCAAAAAATTTGGCCTCTATTTTTCAACCTGGTATCTTATCCCATCCAGATCACGATATGGAACCTGAACAATATAAGTTATCACAAGAAGTTGTGGAATTTCTGATCGATTATCAAAATTATTTTTTGATGACTTTACCAAGTGGTGGTAATGAGTTTGCCGTAAACGAGACTATTAAAACTCGAGATATACCACGAAATATTGATAGGGACACCGATACAGCGTCGCTTCGAGAGCCATATGACCTCAACAATGTGCCTATTACACAATTGCCGTTGCGGAGATCTAGTTTAACTCTGGATCCTTCAAACGATGATGATATATCATTGCCGGAACGACGACCTTCATACGATTCTAGAATATTAGGTCGTCAAGGATCTACAACTTTAGGAAGGAGTAAAACATTGCCCAGTAAAAGGTCTACATACAGGGAAAGTCAAAACATAAGGGTTGCAGAAGGTGAAGATCCTAACGGTAATTTTATTATTCCATAGCTTTTCCTTTTTGGGGGTGGTGCTTTATCAAATTTATTTAATTCGCATATATGTTACTCGTACGTTATTGTGTTTTGGATAGTAGTTTAAGAATGATTGGTTGTATGGGTGGATATATTTATGCTCAAGTCTCATTCTTCCCATTGCATTAAAGAAACCATTATTATAGAGGGTTTATCTTTTAATGAGTGGAAGCACTATAACTATATCTATATCTACAGTTTTAAAATATTATTAATACTTTATAATATATTAGCTGTTCCTTATTTTTTATTATATGATTTTTTATACTTTGATTAATTCACCCCAAATCCTTAACATTTTGGGATGGTGCTAATTCATTTGTGTTATGTATTTTAAATAAAATCAATTTCGTCTATATGCATTGGATCTTTCCACATATAATATTTATTTTCAATATTTATTTTATTTGTCTTTTTTGCAAGTGCTTAAAACTTACAATTATCATATATTCTCACGGGTTTAATAATAGATAAGGGCAGATCTAAAACAAAAAAACACGGAGCCCGAAAAAGGTTTTCGCAATTCGGATCATTTATGTTTTTTACAGATTCTTTTGGTTTTCGGTCTACACGACTCGAACAAGGCTTGGAATCATCAAGGAAGGAATCAAAGTTAAAACTCGGTTCACGACGATCGCCTACTGACAAATCATTTTGGTCATCATCAAATGATCAAATGTTTAAGGATGATCAATCAATAAATTCTTCAATATCAACGAGGAAAAATCATACTGGAAAAAAGAACAATGCTGAGAAAAGTCCAAAGAAAAAATGGTATTCTGGTATAATCAAGGCATAAGGCGTGAGTTATTATCGGTGATAAAATGTGTTTGTGATAATGGTTTTTAAAATACTTTTTTTTCCTTAAAAAAGAAAAAAAAATTAATGTTTTATTTTAAGTTACATAATTATGCATTTTTTAATACTGATAGTATATTTTTTAAGTAACATATTCTTTTTATATAATTTTTTCACAAGCAAACAAAATAATTACTATAATGTATAGTAAATGCAACTTGATATATAAGAATTCACCCATTTAGTAAATATCCATTTTTTGTAATATGTATTATTAACGAAATTTTTTTTTTGTTCAAAGAATTTTATACAAAAAAAAAATTAATATATGAGATTTTAACTATTTAAGGTCAAATCTGCAAGTCTCAAAATATTTTAATTAATCACAAGTCAATTTTAACAACTATTGCTATTGCTATGTAAGATTAATGCACAATTTATTACAGTTACCCAATCGTATTGTTTATCACGTGACAACCACGATATATAGCTACTTAAGTTATTTAGACCAATTAAATTCAATTTCAAACCAAGCAATATAAAATGTGTAAAGATTCTCAATATGTTTGTTGAAGGCAATAATGTCAACCACTTCGCATACAAGTGACGATTCTTCCTCTATTAAGAAAACACTTCCTATCAACCCAAATTTGCTTAATGAGTTAGAGGAACAAGCTCGTGGCATTGCTGATGACCTTGAAGCAATGTTTCAAAATTTAAAGTCTCAAATGTTCCAGGTTTGCTTTTTTTATTTTTTTCTCATTTTGAATTAGTAATTTAAGCCTGAATTACTACTTTTATTCAAACCTCGGCAACACGATGAATGAATTATTTACGCATTTGTAAGTAGGCATCGGTCGTAACTTCTGCTTCATTTGATGTTTATAAACAAACTGTCGAGAATTATGGTACAGAAATTACAGAAGCATCAAATAAAACCCGAGAACTGATAGAATTATGCGATCAATTAGATAAAGAATTTGTCGATATACAAACCTTGGGAAGTAATATGTGTGTATATTGGTTTTTTTTTTTGTTATTTTCCCCTTTTTTTTTTCTTGCCGGAATTTCTGTTATGCATGATGATGAGACGCGTTATCTTAGGACGTTATTATTATGCACCTTCATATTGTTTAGTAAAAACATTAAACAACAAGTTGACGCACTTCATAGTGCCTGGATCCGGATATCTAAATAGTAGAGTTTAGAACCGGGTTATAGTAAACCGGGTCACCCGTGTCAAAACGGTTCAACCGGGTCAAAAATTTACAAC